CCCCACGCAGCAGGCCCCCGCCTCTCCCGTCCAAGCCTCCCCGGCCCCACTCCCCCACCCCCGCCCCGCCCCCCTCACCCTGCCGAGCCTCAGTCCGTCTGGAGCTGCTGACCCGCCGTCCCAGACCCAGACCCAGATCCAGACCCAGACCCAGACCCAGACCCAGACCCAGACAAACGGCTCGGGGGAACCCACCTCAGCACAGCTCAATGGATCCTCCCCAGCGGGAAAGCCCCACCCAGAGGCCACCCAACCCCCCCACGCCTCCCCGCAGCCCGCCCCCGGCAGCATGGAGGGCTCCCCGGTCTCCGAGGCCCCCGTTCCTGGGTTCGCCACCTTGGGCAGGAGGCTGATGCTGGGTGGAGCCGACCCCCACCACCCAAGTTACACTCAGCAGCAGCCCCAGGGGCCCCCGCATCACCAGTACCCCGCCATGGACAACACCGGCCCCCTGGACACTAACAAGAGGCACTTCCACCCTGGTCACGCCCCCCCGCACCACCCGGCCCCCTACAACTACTCCACCATCTCCATCCCCCTCCCTCACCCGCAGCCGCCCCTGCCCGAGAAACGGCACCCTCCCGCCCCGTATGGACCGGAGGGGGGGAGGCCAGCAGTGGGCCACGGGTCCCCCTCCACCACCACCCCCCCGCACCAGCACCACGTGACTTTTTCCCCCACCGTGGGGGAAATGGCTCCCCCCGCTGGCCACAGTGAGGAAGCGGCCCCGCTGGAGGCCGAGGCCGCGAACCGGGTCAGTGTGAAGTTCGTCCAGGACAGCTCCAGGTTCTGGTACAAGCCCGGCATCTCCAGAGAGCAAGGTGAGCCCCCCCAGTGCCCTTTTTTTGTCAGAATTAAGGCAAATCAATGCAAAAACAAAAACTTAAGCCGCTTTTCTGTGCAGCGATCGCGGCCCTGAAGGAACGGGAGCCGGGAACCTTCCTGATCCGGGACAGCAACTCGTTCCAGGGGGCCTATGGCCTGGCCCTGAAGGTGGCCACTCCCCCGCCCAACGTCAACAACCACAACAGCAAGGGTAAAAATCCACGTGCCTCTCCCCGTTCCCGTTCTCACCGCCGGAGAGCCGCTGGGCGCTCCGTAGGGGAAAAACCCCGACGTGACCACAGCTCTCTGCCCCCCACAGCGAGCGATCCTCTGGAGCAGCTGGTCAGACACTTCCTGATAGAGACCGGCCCTCGGGGAGTCAAGATTAAAGGCTGTCAGAACGAGCCCTACTTCGGTGAGTCCCCCCGCATTAAACGCCACACTCAGGCCTCTCAGGACAGCTTCAGAAAACCGATGATGTCAGAAAAAGATGCGGCCCACAAGAAGGCTTTCTTGTGGGCCTTTTTTATCTTATTTATTACGGCTAGATAATGTCCAGATAATGTGATGACTACCAGACCAACTGGGGCTGTGTGACACTTCATTCTCGGTCTAATGAGCGAGGCCTGAGGCCCTAATCCTGTTAAATCTTTGTGCACAGGGAGTCTCTCGGCGCTCGTCTACCAGCACTCCATCACCCCCATCTCTCTGCCCTGCGCCCTGAAGATCCCCGAAAAAGGTGGGTGCCCGTCGCCGACTCGGTTTTTCAGCGCCATGAGCTCAAGCCGCGAGGTTTGAGCCGAGCGTCCCGTTTGAGACGGTAAGAGATTCTAACCCCCCTTCCCCGTGTTGCAGATCTCGTGGGGGAAGTGCCGGAGGTCCAGCCGGTCAGCAACGTCAGCACGGCCGCCGACCTGCTAAAGCAGGGAGCAGGTGAGTGTTTTCCCCTCAACTGAGCGGAAATGAAGCGCCACCAAGGGCTTTAAGGAACTTGTTCGTTTTGCTCACAGCTGCTCGGTTGGTTTTCCATTATCAGCGAGTAAGTGGGCGGGTCAAAGACCTGTGATGATGTCATCCGATGCCCCAGCTGCCCCTCAGCCGGAGTTTAGCCCACGGCAGAAATTAAATAAATACGTCAAATGTTTGTTTTTTTAAGTGGAAAAAACTAGAATCATCACCTCAGATCTGTGATAACCACACATAGTCGTTAAGGCCACTCCCCAGCCGGCCAATCGGTGACCGTCTTCAGCTGGACTGAAGTCCCAGTCCCAGCTTCCCGATATCAGGTTTGAGGCCAAAAAACAAGTGGAGCCTCATGGGTGTTAGCAGAAAAACAAACATAGATGAGGTGCTTCTGTCTGCTGATGGGAAACAGCCCGTGTTTCAGACGGACGGCGGCTGCTTCTCGGTCATGTGACACCAGAGGACTAAAGTTCACCAAGTGGACGTTTCCCTGAAACTCCTTCTGGAACGCTAACAGCTAACAACCCTCTGTCCGCTTTTCGATCAGCCTGTAACGTCCTCTACCTGAACTCCGTGGAGACGGAGTCCCTGACCGGCCCCCAGGCCATCGCCAAGGCGACGGACGCCACGCTGGGCCGGGGCCCGCGCCCGGCCGCCACCGTGGTCCAGTTCAAGGTGACGTCGCAGGGCATCACGCTGACCGACAGCCAGCGCAGGTGCGGCCCCGCCCGCCCCCCGCCTGTCTCCGCCCGCCCCCGCGGCGCCGCAGCAGAAACTCACCCGTCCCCCTCTGCTCTCCCTCTGCTCTCCCTCTGCTCTCCTCCAGGGTGTTCTTCCGGAGGCATTACCCGGTGAACAGCGTTACCTTCAGCAGCATCGACCCGAAGGACAGAAGGTGGGGGGGGGGGGGGGTCAGAGGTCCGGCGCCGGTAGCGCGAGCCCCGACTAATGGCTGCATGTGTGTGTGTGGATGTGCCGGTTCCGGCCGCCGGTCGCATGTTTGGCTGAGTCCAGTTTCTGTCTCTTGTCTCTCTCGGCTGTAGGTGGACTAACTCCGACGGCACGGCTGTTAAGTAAGTGCCCTGCGAGCCCGTAGTGGATGACTTTAGAGCCTCTGCATGGCATCAGAATGCAAACTGCCCGTTCCAGCAAAACGAGATTTAATGAAGGAATCTGGGCGGCACGGCGGTGGTGTGGTGGTCAGCAGCACCGCCTCACAGCCAGAGACTTCTGGGTTTTAGTCCCCGGGGGAACCAGGACCTTTCTGGGTGGAGTCTGCATGTTTTCCGGCTTCCTCCCACCGTCCAGAAACCTGCATGTTAGGTTGACTGGACACTCCAAATGTCCCTTATGAGTGATTGTGAGTGGTTGTTGGTCCTTGTGTGTCTCTGTGTGTCCCTGTGATGGACTGGGGACCGCCCAGGGTGTACCCCGCCTCTCCCCATTGACTACTGGGATAGGCTCCAGTTCTCCCCATGACCCCATTAGGGAATAAGTGTTAACGATAATGGATGGATGGATGAATCCAGTCAGCCCTGGGTGCATATCACCACTTTTCTCATTAGTGTTGTAATAGTTTTGCTCCCCCTCCTCTTCTCCTCCTCCTTCTGCCTCACGGCCTCTCGTCTCCTCGCAGGGTGTTTGGCTTCGTGGCCAGGAAGCCGGGCAGCACGGCGGAGAACGTCTGCCACCTGTTCGCAGAGCTGGACCCGGAGCAGCCCGCCCCCGCCATCGTCAACTTCATCAACAAGGTCATGCTGTCGCAGCGCCGGTAGATCTCCTGAGGGAACTCAGAAGCCGCCATCATGAGGCCAGATCCTCAACTGTGCTCGGCTCTCTGTGAGGTGGAGGGATGGGCAGGTGGGACCTGAATGAGGTCAGGCAGCAGAGCCTGTCAGGAAAATGGTTCTGATGAAGCACAAAAAACATTCGGAAAAGAGACTTTTCCCTCCCCTTTTATCAGTTATCGAAGTCTATTTGAATCAGTACGACATTAAAAAAAAAAAATCTGCCTACAAAATGAATGAATGTGGCCTTAAAACAAGACTAAAACAGAAAAAGCACCTAAAGAATTCAGCACCTTTCAGAAGGGCAGATCTTATTCATGGGGCCAAAAAGGTGAGAACTGAACTGGTTTACTTCAGACTAAATTACACAATCAGGATGCATTGATTGAGAAAGGTTAAAAATATAGGGAACATTTTTTTTCAAATTAATTAAGCGGCATGGTCCTGAAGTGTTTCAGGGTTTATTTCAAAGTCATACTGATTTATAATATCTGCTCATTTCACACCTTCAAAAACCAGTTTTATTTAAGCTGGCTGGCACCAGTCAGGATTCTCCTGGCTCTCAGTCTGATGGAGGGGGGTGTTTTTTTACACCCGCAGCACACATAAACTGAACTTAAGCTTTAATACTGTCATGAAAAACGATGATCTGTTCATCGGTTTGTTTCCAGGATGTTAGAGGTCTTCATAAAGAGCAGCTTTTTCAGATTACATTGCAAACTGCTGGCCTGGGGGGGGGCTAAACCCCCCCGAGACCATAGCTGAGCGTGCCTCATGGTCCAGGCTCCTGGGTGAATCCCAGCATCCTCTCACTGCTCCAGAGCAGCTAACAGAGCCCCCACAGGGTTAGACTCAACAACCAGCTCTCAGATTAGTTGTTTATATTTTGTACACATCTGAAACACGAGCGACCAAAGTCCTGATGGAATCAGCTTCCTGTATGTAGAGACGTTCAGGCGTTACCATTTCTCCTTTTAGTCATGACAATCACGTTTGCGTCCCACTCGCGTGGTAACTCTTAAGGAAAGCCAACAGGAACGTGAGGTTTGAACCCTTTGAGGAGGGCGTGTGTTTGCGTGCGGGAACCGGAACCAGAACCGGGGCGGAAGGGCCATGAGGCCGGAAACATGGCGGATAAAAGGTGTCGTCACGTCCACTTTTAAGGCGTCGCGGATGTGAAACGGGGGGGAAAAGGTGAATGGAGAAGGCTTCAAACCACAGCGTGGGCTGGAAACGCACAGCTTCACATCCTGAGACCAAAAGCAGCAAAAGAAACGGAGAGAAAAAAAAGACAGAACACAAAAACACGCCGGCGGCCTGAAGAAAAACACACTTAACCAAAGACAAAGCACTCTTGTATTAATAAGCTTTTTATCCAGCTATATTTTTGTACTTATGGCTTCTTCTATTTTTTTATTACGCATCCATTTAGTGTCGCCTTGTGTGGTAGGAAAACACGACTTGTATTACAACGATAATATATTGTGGTGTGTTTTCTGGTTGGACTTTGTATCGTGTAGTAATATATTTTCACATGCAGCTAAGGGGCGACACACCAGACCAGAAAAGGAAACATTTGTGTGGAAAAGACATGACTTTGTATGCAAAAATAAAGATATAAACTCACATGTGTTACCTGCTCTCAATGTTTATTATCATTAGATACTAACCATGGAGCCAAAATGTGCTTATTTAAAGGGATATTTTAGCCAAGTTGTCAATATAATAAAGAGTCCATATTGTCTGAGCTGCCATTTTTAATGCTCTTTGAAAGTCTTAAACTTAAATTACACACCTTTAATTTTTAATCTATTCAAATAAGTAAAACAGAACAACAAAGACTGTTGATTTCTTATTTATTTATTCACAATTTCCCTTTAATATTTCATAAAATAATAGCCAACTTTAAAAACTTGGTACAAACCATTCATAAATCTGGAAAAGAAAACCCCCTTAAAATCCGCCCAGTCGCGGTCAAATTCAACCCAAATGCTGAAGGCTGGCCGGATAGTGTGAACAAACACCGACGGCCCTAAAAGCCTCAGAAATCTTCCTTCCTGCAGCTCAACGGGGAGCGTCCACCTGGAGAGCGTCGCTGCTCTCTGGACCTAAAAATCTACGCCTGCAGACTCCCCAAATGAAAGAAACGACCAACCGGCTGGTTAAAATACTACCTGTGAGGGATTCCAACAGCAGAAACGACGTCTCCACTTCAAGGTGCAAAAGCGTGCTGGCTGATTGGTCCGAAGCTGATAAAACCAGCCCCTCGCCGTTGGTTTATTTAAATAAAACAGCTGAGCGGCTTTCAGTCCGCAGCGTTGGGCTGATCCAGGCTCAGCTCTGTCCAGTGGGGGTCCCGGTCTCTGGGGGGCCGCTGGCCCTCTGCCGCCTTCCCCACTGGAAACAACGTCTGAACTACAGAAGCCTTCTGAGCTCGTGACTCAGAGGAGTTGCCTTAAACCAAACCTGCCCGCGGGGGCTGGGGGGGCAGATCCGGGGTGGGGGGGGAATGAAAAAAAAAAAAAAAGTGCTGAGCTGGCGCTGATGTGCCATGAAGCAGCGCTTGGGGCTCCACTCTGACATCACCGCCCTTTCCCAACAGAACCAAAGGAAAAGGCCTGGAGTCCCGCCCCGCCCCGCCCCCCCCCCCTCCGGCGGCTCACAGCAGCGGCGGGCCGGTGGCGCGGGCGTCCCTCGCCGTCCGGTGGCGCGTGCTGTTGGAGCCGCAGTCTATGTAGCGGTAGGCCTCCAGGCTGTTCTGGGACGAGCGCACCATGTAGGAGGTTTTCACCGAGGTCCTGCACACAGGACAGACGGGTTCAGACGTCCCCCTCAGCCGTTTCCATTAAGCCTCCAACAGCCATCAGCTCTGACTGACCACCACTCACACTTACCAGAGGAGATTCCTTTATAGAAAAAGGAGTTTTACTTCATCTTAAAACTGCAAAACTGAACAAGAACTGACCCGAGCACATAAAAACGGCCCACTGAAATAACTGAAACGGCCATTTCTGGTTCATCTAAACGTTAACCAATTCATTTTATATATTATGATTTCAATATGGGTGACTACCTTTAAATGAGTTCTATTTACATTTCACCACCAGGTGGCGCTGCGTCTTATGATAAAACCTCTTTTTACTGTTTTTACTGCAGGTACAAATGCAGGGAAATCAGATAAAAAATTAAAAAATAGCCAGAACTTTATATAATTTAAGGAAAATATGTATTATTTGGACTTGTCTTAAAACCCCCAAAGAGTAAAGGAGTTCTATAAGAAGTCATTAAGAAGCAAACGGTTCAGAATCTATCAGCTCTAAACGGCTGAGCTGGGACGGTCCTACTCCTGCGTGCAGGAAGTGGTTTGTGTGGCGTGGCGGCGGCGGGCGGCTGATAGACGACGGCACGCGCTGCTGCGCTGGCGGTGACCGTCTGCTTCCACTGACAACGGCTAACAAAGTTTCCCTAAACATTCCAGGAATGTCGTGTTTTGGTTGCTGGGACATTCTGTCCCGGCAACAGTCTGTGCGGGTCCTGAGTCGGGTTCATGTCAGTTTACAGGATTTTAGTTTTTACTTGGAGTCCAAAACATGGAAATAATCGACGTTTGTGTGATTTCTAACCCAAAACAAACATAAAAATATAGAAAAGCAATAAGTCTAGAAGTTAAGGAATGCAACTAAAGTTAAATATAAACTGAAGTTAAGCGGAAATTTTTTAATAAAATACAAAGACACACGTTCAGCTTTTAAGCGAACTGATGTCAGCTTATATCATTTAGCCACCAGCAGCTAACTTTGTTGTTTGTCTTTTAGCATCTGTAGCTAACCTGCACCTGCTAAGCACAGAAATGTCAACGGAGGTCTTAATGAGACAGAAAAACCACGTTAAACTGTTCCACAGCTTCAGGACCCGTCCCCCTTTAGAGCACTGAGCAAAACAGGAACCACTTACTGCACAAACACCACGATGTTGTGGACCTTGATGCTGGGCATGGTGCAGAAGGCGCTGGAACAGAGAGCAGAGATGGAGCTTTGAGCCGTTATCCGGCCTCCAGACTGGGCGCGTGCGGGGGGGACACTTACTACACGTAGGGGGCGCTGCTGCCGATCTCCACGCTGACCGTGTAGTTAACCTGCAGGGAGGGAAAAGGACCGGTCAGCGGGCTGTAACTGCCCCCCCCGCAGGCTTCAGCACGCCTGGTTCACATCAGAGCTCCAGCAGCAGGCTGTGAGCATCCTTAACTACTCTCCTTTAAACAGGAGTGTAAAATGTGTCTGTGCCTCCTGGATGTGGGGGCAAAAAGCAGCGGAGGGCTTTAGCTTTGGGTGCCGTGTGTCTCACCTGGCTGTCGCTGAGCGGCAGGATGGTGGTGGCGTTGTCCAGCTGCCGGGTCCCGATCACCGTCTTCATGTAGAGCACCTGCGCGCTCACGCTCTGCACCAGCACCGAGAAGAAGTTGGGGTTGCTGAAGTTGAGCGTGCTCTGAGGACGGAGTCAGGGGAAAAAGGTGAAGCCCGGAGCTGAGCTCACGGGGTAAACTCCTCAGAGAACAGGGTGAACAGGGCAGGGCCACTGAGCAGCATTCACCAACCCTGTGACCCACACACACACAAACACACACAGACACACACCCACACACACACACACACAGACACACACAGAGGCAGTGTGTGCCTGCAGCTGTTTTCTAAAGGTCTTTTGACAGAGCTCAGCCTTTCCCTGCCCCAAGAATGGCTTCTGGACAGGCGCCCGTCCATGCAGAGCCTTTCTGATGAGGGATCGGATGCGTCTCTAGCCTCTTTCTTAAGGGCATCACTTTCAGATCCTCCTCATCTGCTGGTGATAGTTTTTGAGGCCAAACACTTCTTCTTTTTTTTTTGTCCAGTTTCCTCAAACTTTTAAAACGGCACGCTGCACAGCACACAGAGAAATGCCAAGTTTTTAGCTAACAGCCGTTTGGGAATCAGGTTGTTGGTTAAAAAAATACTAATTTCTTTCTGTCAAACCAAAAATAGTGGCTTTGGAAGCTGGACGTTGCCTTAAAATACGCTGAAAACCCTGGTCTTTTCAGACACAAGCATTAGACTGAAACTAAGGAAAGAAAAGACCAGCCCATGTTCAAATAAAGAACCTTCAGAAACCCGGAGGAACGATTGCTCAAGAGCACTGTAAATATTTACAACAGGGAACGAGGACACGGAGCTCCCTAAGCAGTAAAAGGAGACGCTGGGAGATTAAAACCTACCGTCATGTTCATCAGGACTTTCTTATTCGAGCTGTCGAAGCGAACCATCACCGAGCGAATCCCAGCGTCCACCACGATGACCGCGCGAGGGAAGAGGAAGAAAGCCACCAGCACCGAGGCCAGGAGGCAGAGCACCACGGACAGGACCACGTACAGCTTCCTGTGCGGAAAAACACAACGTGCTGGAGCAGGGCAGCCATCTTTTCCCCCCCCGAAGCAGAAGGCCGGTGGTTACTCACGTCCGCTGGGGCCGCAGCCTCTGGTCACTGTATGGGATCAACGCAACCAGCTCGTTCACTTGCTCTGGAAGTTCAAAAAATAACAGGCAATTAAGCAGCCATTCACTTATTTGTGTGTCCACATTCCCCTGGAAAACAGAAGAAAAAAATCTGAAGCATGTATCTAATCTTTTTCATCCAATTTGCAGGAATTAAATCTGTAAAATTGTTTTGATAAATACAGGATAAATAAATTGAGTATAACCATAGTCAATAATGGTTTCATGCATCAAGACACAACCAGAAATAGGCTTAAAAGTTGGTAAATGCAACATCAGGAGAACAACAAAAGACATAATAACACAAGTGTGTTTTTATTAAATCTTGGAAATACAATAACTACTTCTTAAAGGCTTCTGCGGTTGGAGTTTTTGGCCGATGAAACATTGCAATACAATTTATGCAAACGTAAAAAAAACAACATAAAAGAATGGCTTCCACAAACCTGAGGGTATCCGCCCGGTGCCCTGACACGTCGGGCACGTTATACTGTCCCTGCCGGTGAACTCCACGTAGGGGAACTGAGCGATGTCCTCCCGCCTGTCCAGCCCATCCAGGGAGTCGTCGTCGGAGTGTCCGTCCTCTGTCCCCGGCCCAGCGTGGCGTCTCTCCGGGAGGAGGGACAGGCTGCTGCCGCCCCGAGACAGCCGCGGCCCCATGGCGGCGGCGGAGCACGTCCCGTTTCCCCGACTACAGCCCGTTCACGAGTGGGTGGAAGTCAGCCATGGTGCACCCGAAAACTTACTGAACGACTCGGAAGCAGCAGGACGGCCGTGTTTCCCACAGAACCATAACGTACCCGTCGATATTTGACTTAGTTTACTAAATTACCCAAAAAATTGAGGGGGTTCCGGTGTCGCTTTGCTAGCTTGTTTGCTTCCGACGGTGCGCAACAAGTTACCTGCCAAAAAACGGGTAACCACAACTGAAGGAAAAGAACTTTGACCAACTTCAATTACCTCTGAGGCGACACTAGCATCACACTCCTACTCCCTTTAAGTCACCAAGTAGCGTCTCTCTCTTTCTGTCTTTCTTTCTTTCTTTCTATCCCGAAAGCACTCAACCAGTTTTGGCTGGCACCGAGCGTTAACTTTTAACGGGCCGAACCAACACAGCCAAACACTCGTGGTGCGTTCGGGCGTTTTCTGAGTTCTCACTGTCACATTCAACAAGTCACTCTGGCAGAAATTAAAGACAAAATGTTGTGCATTAACTTGTTATTCGCTGTTCACATTCTTTACAAAATAACCGAGGACATTGTGTGATATTTAAGGTTTTCCTCTCGTGTCGATGCAGTTTTAAGAACTAAAGATCTCCGATAGGAAATGTAGCATTTAAACGCGCCCTAGTATAATGCCATTGGTCATGTGTGGGAGCTCACTTCTGCCCCCTAGTGTCAGTTTTGCATTTTGCTGCTCCAACATGATCAGCGTCAAATACTACAGAAAACTAAACATCAGGATCGGACATAAGCTTGTTTTTAGAACTATGTTCCCACCTCTCCATTTCCCCCCACAACACTTTTGATTTTATTTTTGTCCAAACATTCAATCCCAATACTGAAAAAAGTTGTTATGATGTCTAAAACACGGATAAGATGAATGACTTTCAAATATATAATAAACCAATGTTTCAGATAAGCAAATATATCTAATGTTGACAATGACACATTATGCGATTCGATTTTGAAATAATATTGTCTCACAAGGGTGACAAAAGGCTGTAGTAAGTTGATCTAAGAAGAAACAGCTGCAGGAACGTCCATTCATCCATCCATCCATCCATCATCTACACTATCTACTCCTAGTAGGGCGGCAGGGGGGCAAGAATCTATCACTGGAGGAATATTTTTACCACAAGCAAGGGGACCTAACAACAAGGCATTAACATGTTTGGAGGCAGAGACTCTCAGAAGAAAACATGTAGAGAATCAATCTGAAAAAAGTCCTTTATTGTGGAGAAAATATAGAATGTGGTCCTCAAAATAAAATTGCAAAGCAAATCATATTATCATTCACAGATCCAGATAATCCAAAAACATCTCTGTGCTCAGTGGACACGGATTAACTCACATATGTATTCCTATTGTTATTACATCTGTTGCACGTTTCAGCAGATGAGGAGTCCAGGAGGCGGTCCAGGACCCAGGACTGCCCAGCTGCCCCTATCCTGCCTAAACACTCCTCTCCCTAAGCTCCGGCTGCTGGTGTTGTCAGTTCCAGATGTTTACAGGCTGATGTTAAGAGGTGCTGCACAGACCCATTACGCCTTTTTATCACGAGACGTTTTCTACTGTCAAATACCGCGAGCCACTATTTTTCTGTGAGGATATAAATGTCAATCAACATTTCATCGGTTTTCTGTTTGGGAATGGGAGTCATATGCTCGAGAATCCCAGCCAAACTGTGTTATTTAGACTGGGCTGAGAGCCTCCTCTTCAGCTCCTCGTTCTCCCTTTGCAGGACTTTGTTCTAAAAATGACCAGAGAAACAACATGTTTACAAAATCAAAAAGAATTCAACACATGAAAAAAAATATCCACGCATCCAATAAATAAATCAAACAACGTGACAAAGGGAAAACAAAAGGGTAAAATGCATCAACATGACCCACCTTGTGCCTGAGAGCCTCCACTATCAGATCTCGCCCCCCCCGGACATTTTCCTCCTGTTTGGAGGCCTGGAAGGCATCTCCAATGGCGGAGACCATCACGTGGGCCTGAAAAGGGTCTCGTAGAGTCACATCCTGACCCCCTCAGCGGGAACTCAAGTGGTCAGAGCCACGGTGGGATACTCACAAACGTCCTGCTCTGGAACAGGTAGCAGTGGTGCGTGTCCACGGCCGGATGTTTGGCCACAAACCCAAAGACTTTGGGCGACGCCGGCAGGACGGCGCAGAAGGAGACGGTGGAGAGGGGGCACGTGTAGAGCAGGAACTGCACCAGGAAAAACGCGTTTCAGATCACCCTCCGACTCAAAACGTCCCCGAATTGATTCCATTGATCCGAACTGATATCCCGACCACGACATACCTTGGTTTTGTTTTCCAAAATGTCAATCCCACTCAGAGAAAGAAAAACGTGGACTTTGCTCTTCTTCGCGGCCTTTTCCGTGGAATATTCGTCTGATGACTTCAACTGAAAGGGAGTGGACAGACCAGATGGGAACTTTTTTAATCGACATGCAACATGTTTCGGCTGATTTTCCAAATAAAGATGAACTCATTAGCTCTCTTGTGTTTTGTGGTAAACATGTCACAGATGTTTCATATGACTTCGGGGGAAGCAGATTTCAGATGTGCGGCCCTTTCTCTTTCAGCCAATAATGCTCACTATTGATTTTTTCTTTTCTCTAAATAAACTCATGTGATGTTCTGATTTGTTTTTGGGAGTGTAACATTGGATTTGAAAACCTTTTGTTGGGGTTAGACCGAGGAAGAACATGGACACAGACAGTGGGTTAGCAAAAATAAAAAAATAAACCAACAGACAAGGAGTTACTGTAAAGCTTTTGTCTGCTTTTTGGTTTTTGTTTTTAAAAAAATGCAAAAACAATGTACAAAAACAATAAATCAAAAAAGTAGAGCCAATTCATCCGGTAAAAGTTTAGATCTTTATGGCTAATTTGGACTGGATTATATTTCAGTGACTACTTAAAAACACGTAACCATTACAGCCTGTCTAATAGAGCAACGTTTGAGTTTGTTTCAGCAACCAGAAAAACCAAAAGCCATGAAAGAGAAGAAAAACAAAGAGATTCGAGACACAAAACGACAATAAGTCGGCCCTTTCCAACCTTCAGGCTCTGAGCAGCCTCAGCCAGGATCGGCAGACCTGTAGGGCGGAGTACCTCCACTCGGCCAAGAAACTAGATGACAGAAAACTGGGGGTCATTTCTGAGAAAACCCTTTGCGAAACCTTTCCATGTAGGATTTCCTCTGTTTTTAATGTAAAAAAAAAACATACCTGAACAGGAAAGCTGATCTCGATGCCGTCCTCTGAAGTGTCGCTCATTTTTAGGCCCGTTTCCTCTAAAACAAAAGACTGTAGGAATAACTAAACGTCTCCCCCATGAATCTATGAAAGATAATATGATTTATTCTCAGCTTTGGTGAAGACACCAGAGTAAGCTGCTGTGGAAATGAAACGGTGTAAAGTCTGACGGAGTTAAACAGTAACAGATGTGCCTTCCTTATTGCTTTTTATCAGATATCAAGGCCATCTGGGAGTTACACACCTGCCTTTTTATGGTGTTTTTAATCATAAATATGGGAAAATTTACTTACTTTCAGTCTATGACTTTCTTTCCCATCAGTTTTAATTAAATGGAAAAGCAGTAAATACTGCCAAGTCATTTTGAAGAATACAAAAATAACACTGTGAAAAGCAGACTTTTCACAAACAATGAATGTAATAAAGTAACAACTATTGCTGGAATGCTGTAATTTTACACTTTTGAACAACTTGATCTCTTTGAGGGAACAACAGTTTGTGAAGTTGAGACAAAAGTCAGTGTTAGAAATGTATGTTTTGTGGTTTTTGAAGTGTGAAGAACTGCCCATACAAATGAGCTGTTTCTACCCTTTCATCACAAAGTTGTGTGGTTTCTTGTAAAAAAAACGTTTATGCATGACATTTTGATCCTCAGGAAGAACCAGCTCAACTGATTCCAGATTGAATTAGTTGTTAAAAGGTGAATTATTTGAGCCTAGTTAAGCTTAGGGTGCGATTTATTCTGTTAAACCCCACTTTGGTGAGATTTGGGGTCACATATGCTCAAATAAAGTCCTGGTTCACTTCAGTCTTAAGATGCAGCAGCAAAATGCAGACTCATCTAAACACAACCTTCCACATTAGCCGTTTTATTTGTACACTAGGTGCCACATCATCAATTTGCAACCATGTACATTTCATAATCAGCGAGTCCATACAGAGAACGTCTCAGTTACAGCTGAGGCCAAGCGACAATGGTGAGGGACTGATGAGAGGGCGTGAACGGCCTGAAACGGCCGCGCTTCCCCCCCCCGTTTCAGGCAGGAGGGAACCGCGGGACAGCAGCAGCTTCTGGTCTAATCGCAGACAGTAATCAGGTTGATAAAGACTCAATCAGCGGGAACAGCAAACTCCTAGTTGGCCGCTTGGCTTGTTGGCTTGTCCTGAGTCTGCCGACAGGCTGCTGGTTTCAGGCTTTGAGAGGAAGCAGGCATGGGGGTGAGCGACGACGGATCCCTTTTACGTGAACGAGGTGAGCCAGCCATCCACTCAGATGGGCAGAGACGGGACAGAGCCTTTACAGGTGTGAGGGAGCAGCGGGCTGAGCCCTGATCAGCAAAAGCTCTGTTCCGTCTGTCTGCGTGGCGCCGGCGGGTCTACGACTCCTCCACGGACATGCTCTCCATGGCGTTTGGCAGATTCTGGTCCCCCGCCGCCTGCTTCTTCTTCTTCCCTCCGTCCTGCTGCTTCTTGGATTTCTTAGCCATCTCCTGATCGATGGGAGCCGGCTTGACAAACTTGATGATCTCCGTTAAACCTGGAGAAAAATAAAGTTAAAAAAAAAAAAAAAAGATTTTAGAGGTTGAAAATAAATCCACACAGCCAAACATGACCTGAAAAAAAAAAGCTGCTGGGATAAAGGTTTTTGGTCCAAATCTGAAGATCAAAGCACTTTGAAACCAGCTGGAGCTGATCTGCAGCTTTCATACTTTATTCACGTTGTGTTTTTTTACAGCCTTTTTTATACGAGGTCTTCATTTGATGTCGCCGGCTGCTCGGATTTATAATAATTATAATAATAATAATAACATGTTTCATTCTAAAGCCTTTCAGGTCACCCAAAGTACAAGAAAAATACGTGGAAATATGTTATTACTTAAAGGGCTTTCTTTAAAATTGTGGGGTTTCAGTGGAGATTGGGGATTTTAATATTTGAGATGTGGGGGGGGGTTAAGGACCAGGATTATGTTCAATGGCACTACCACCTTAAGAAAGGCTTAAAAATGTTTTTAATCAAAAAACTCTCAAGCTGATGACATCAAAAAGCATAAAAAAAGAAGCTTTTGAAGTGAAGTGAAACCTTCTGTTTAATATATTAATCATAAATTATATTTTATATGATACTATTAAAATTTTGAAACGGATCTCGACCCGCTTCGTTTATCCTGTTTAAAAGCAGTGAAACTGCTGGCGGCCTCCTACCAGGAGGCATGAAGTCCCGGAGCTTCTCGGGCACCACGATGCCCTCCTCTGTCTGGTAGTTCTCCAGGATGGCGCACATCACGCGTGTGGTGGCGCACATGGTTGCGTTCAGCATGTGGACAAAGTCAGCCTGCGGGACACAAGAGACATGAGCCGGGGCCAAACGGGACCCGGAGACCGAACGGGGGGGGGGGGGCTTCCTGCTGCGGAGCTCACCTTGTCCATCATCTTTTTGGTCTGGCCGTAGCGGATGCGGAGGCGCCTGGCCTGGTAGTCGGTGCAGTTGGAGCAGGACACCAGCTCTCTGTAGGCCCCCGAGCCCGGGAACCAGGCCTCCAGGTCCAGCTTCTTACTGGCCGCGTGATTCAGGGCGCCTGCGGCCACCGGGACAAATCAGCACGCGGTTACAACCTCTGGCCTTCAAGCTTGAACGGACTTATTTAACAGCTTTTTTCCCTCCATAATAGTATCTAAATAATAACCTAAAATGTAAAAAACCAAACAGTTTCCCTTTAAAAACTGGCATAGTTTTTTCTTAAAACTCTGACACAGTGGCCCTCATGCAGCCACTCAGAGCTGCTTTAGACCTTTTCGGGGTGACAATCATTTGTTGTTTGTCGGACCTACCGGAGACGATGTTGACGATCCGATAGGGAATCCCCAGCGACTGGTAGAACTCCTCTGCCGTCCCGATCATCTCGTCGAACATCTCCCAGGACTTGCCGTCGTGGGGGGAGGCGTAGACGAACTGCTCGATCTGCGTGGGGAGTGGCGCGGGTTCAGTTCCCGCCGCGGGGCACAAAGGCACGGGCGGGTACGGCTCGGGCTCCACTGACCTTCTCGAACTGGTGCACCCGGAAGATGCCGCGGGTGTCGCGCCCGTGGGAGCCCACCTCCTGCCTGAAGCAGGTGGAGAAGCCGGCGTAGCGGATGGGCAGGTCCTCGGGCTTGAGCCACTCCTCTCTCAGGAAGGCGGCGATGGGCTGCTCAGAGGTGGCGATGAGGTATTTCTCGTCTATGGAGCTGTCGTCCGACTTCTCGCTGCCCTTTCCGATGACCTGATACGGAAGTCATTACATGTTTGTACACAAAGATTCACACAGATTTGAGCCTTCCTGGTCATAAAGGCTCCTTAAACGAGTTTACGAGGTCACATTTGAGCCCCTTTTCATTTTCATCCATCTGTGGTGCTTTAAAAAAAAAAGAAAAAATCAAGTCTACAATTTCCCTTTCTACTCATGCCAACCCAGGAAAGACATTCTGATGTGGAAATAGAACAGCTCTTTGCTCCCAGGTTACAACACAGAGACCTGAATTTTCCCTTTAAGATCTATAAAAAATCCCAATATAGACATATATGCATACAGGAGCTGTACAAATGGAATCAGATTGTTTGGAGGTGTCAGACCCCAGGTGTAATGTGACTATCGCACAACAAATTAGTCACTGAGGGAAGGACGTAGGGCTCTGTATGACTCGCTGACTCTAATGAGGAAACTGGTTGAATTGAACTGGTCCAATACTGGTTGAAGGGTGTTTATTTTTTCTTCTTCTTGCATTATACACGTTGACATGATTGTATATTGTCTAGAAAGATACTTTGGCTATTGATTTGTTACTTTGCGGTCAACAGAAAATACCGGCCCTACGTCAACCCTCTCTGTCACAAACAAAAGACAAAACTCCATGGGCAGACAGGTGATAATTATCAGGCCGCCATCATCCAAACCCAGCCACACCCACCCACATACACACACACACACACACACACACACACAGACAGGTATCCAAACACGCTCACTCCTTCTTGTGTCGAGAGCTAAACACATCCATGCCACTACACCGGGCTTGGGCGTTCATGTACCTTGTAAAGCTCCTCGTCGAACTGGCTGAGCTGGGCCACCTCCTGCATGACCTCCTTCCTCATGAAGAAAGGCGTGTACAGCATGGTGTACTTCTTGCTGTACAGGATCCTCATGGCGTAGTTGATCAGGGCTTGTTCCAAGAACACCAGAGGTCCCTGAACACAACACGGGTTCAATGGGCGACTCCGGCGGAGAGGCAGACGAAAGTCCACCTGTCGGCGGCCGTCGGCGTCGGTTCACCTTTAGGAAGTAGCCTCTGCTGCCGGCCACCACGGCGCCCCTCTCCCCGTCGAAGCCGTCGATCATCACCACCAGGTCCACGTGGGAGTACTTCTTCTGGCCGCCGCAGTCGCCCCAGGTGCGCTCCACCTTGTTGTCTGCATCCTGGCAAGAACAACCAGACCATCAGCAGGCCTGCCGAGCAACTTCCTGTTCAGTTACTAAAATAAAAATCAGGGCTTCATATAAAAAAACGCTCCGATGCTTTTATTTTGAAACATTTGTGTTCCGAGGATCGTCTGGCCTGTGACGACTTTAAATGTTTGAAGCATGCACACAAAGGTTCACCTCAAACCTGACAGATGTTTGGCTCTTAATCGAGTGTACTTTTGTTTCACGTTGCACCTAACCTGCTTCATAAAAGAGGCTTTCATGTGGACATATAACCGTTATTCTGCACAAATGTAAACAGGTGGTGTAAATCCTGTGAGTCTCTGAGATGAACAACATTTGTGCTTTTCTTTGTTTGAAGTGAGTCCAAATGCCAGCGGTGGGTAACATACGTACATTTCCTCAGTCATTATTCTCTGTCTCTTTTTGGGGGGCGGGGCTAAGCAACCCCATCATCCACCTGCACCGAGCACACACCTCATCGTTGCTGATGGGAACAGATGGGTGCAGGAGGTTGCCGATCTCCCTCAGGTACTCGAAGCGCTCCGCCTCCAGCTTTATCCGCTCCTTGTCAGTTTTCTCCACCGCCTCGTCCACAAGCAGACGCACCTTTTTGATCTGCGTCACCGTCAGCGGCTGAGACAGACACAAGGAAAGACCTGTGAGACTCGGCAGATTTAGGAATCGCCCTCGTTTGTCACAGAGTTGGAAGTCATACCGATAATGTCTCAGCTGTGAGGGACTCCAGGTTCTGTGCTTCCTCCGGTACGGAGTCGTCATCCCCGACCGGCTCCTTTTTCTGCAGTGAGAACAGGATATGTATCATAAAATGCTATACTCTCTCTTATGTATTGCCACTGAATAAGTGATGCCTTCAGGGACAACGGGATGAGCATGTACCTTCATTTTCTCCCCGATGCACTTGCTGCAGACGTTCTTGGCTTTGTTGAGGTTGTCTGCAGTGAAACGACCTGCCAGGGGTTAAACGAGTCAGTTGATTGATGCATCGTAAATGTGAGGATAACATGGTGCCTGGTGGCTTTACCTGTTAAACATCAGGTAATTCAATGAAAAAGACAAGTATTTACACAGGTGCGAGTTAACACTTGTATGACATAAAACGATGCACTACCAGTGTAATAAAAACCTCCCTGCTGAGTCAGAATAACTGGATTTGGAGCTGCTCCGCAGGGCGAGGTGGGCTTGACATGCTGATGGCCGGTATTGCATCAGATTGCTCGTCAGCACCAAACATCTCATGCTAACCCTCCTGCTAACACCTTTACATATTTTCCTGACAATAAATCATATTTATTCCAAATGTATCCTGTCTATAATACGCTATATTCTGAATTACATGTATTATCTGTAATAAAAAGAACCGTATGTTCCAGTCAAGTTAGCTAAAATATGTTAGCTTGTTAACATTAGCCTCATTGGAAGTGTTCTTCGTTTCCCCCCAAAAAACTGCAACGAACTGTACTTAAAACTTGCTCTAAGTTGTCACTAAAGGCCACGATGCGTAACATATAACAGATATACTCCTGGTTCTGGCGTGATATCCTCCCCCCTTTTGACGGCTAGGCTAACATCGTTAGCCGCAGTGCTAACGTTAGCTGCCTCACACGTCGGGGAGTTGAAAAAAGACGCCTCTTACATTTTCTCCATTCTGTGTCGGCGGCGACCAGTTTGTCAACCAGCGTCACGTCTTTAAACCGCTTTCTCTGAGTCTCACGGATGACTTCTGGGTCGCCGCCTTTGTCGGTCCGAAACAGGTCCAAATCGAGCACCATCTCTCCACGCTGCCTGTCACAGGGGCTGAATGAGACTGAACCGGCCGGTGAGGAGCGAGCCCTCCGGGTTGCCAGATTCTGCAGCCCATGTAACTAATCCGCAATAAGGTTTCCCTTTTCCCTTTTCATCTTCTGTTCACTCTGGTCTGTAATGAATGCTTATGCTTATAAAGCCAGAAGTATACATTTTAATATTTTCCCCGTTTGTTAAAGTTAGCCTGTTTCTAACACACTGAAATATATTTTTAACTTAGTTTTATTCTGGTTATGGACACTTGTTGTTGTTTATTTTGGTGATTTGAGCTAAATTAGTTTGATTTCTGAAACCATTGAGAAGTTTTATGAAGTTTTATGAAAACAGTGTGAAACAGGAGTGTCGAACTCCAGTCCTGCAGGTCTACTGGCCTTCAGCTTTTCGAGGTTTCTGATTCTGTTCGAATCAGTTCGTTCAAAAGCGCTGCGCCAGCCTGCTGCTGCAGGGAAACTTTAAAAAAAGTTATGTGTTAAATTAACACATCAACTCAGTAATAAGATTGAAATACTTTCTTTTTCAGTCTAGAAATATTGACACTTATTTAAAAAAAGTAAACAAGTATAATAACGGTGGTTTTGTGCTTTCTTCACTGAACATATGAGACAAGGTTCTTCTCTTTGGTGTAAATGCTATTTCACATTTTGGAATTGACTGAATTTGAATGTCTGGGGGTACAGACAACCCTGTTGGCCCCGCCCTTGATTTGTACAAGTTTGTTAATGTGCAGTTGGACCAAAAATCATGCTTAATTTTTTCTTTATTAGCATACCGGCAAACACAAAAAAATATATATATATGTATATGTATTTAATATATAAAAACACAACAAAGCTTCAACATGTTTAAAAGAAAAAAGAACAATAGTAAAAGTAATAGCAGCTTCTACATGAAATCTTCACTGACATTTTTCATACAGATACATGGATTAATGATTATACATAATGTGTAACAAACAAGTCATAGTGCATTGTTATTGCCACAAAAACACAACTGAGGAGTACCTGGTTAACTTGGATTAAAACTGTTGCTTGGATCCTGGACATTTTATTGAGAATGAAAACATCTGCATCCCAGATGCGTCGTCCTGGTCTGCATGTTGTTAGTGAGCGAGTTCACCCGAGTTACCCACTGACGATGTGTGGGACATTGTGAGCTAACTTGCTGCTAAACTGCAAAAATACAATCCAGACTGTCGACCCTGGGAGGTTTCAACCCCTCCTCCATCTCCCCTTCACTTCACCTCTGTACATATATGTTGTCTGATTTATGCTGTATATTGTTATCTGTCTGTAGTAAAAGGATATCTTTGATAATATTTAATACTGCAGGTGTACAATTTCCCTGAAGGGATTGATAAAGTATTGCTGAATTCAACTGTAATCTATTCTACGGGTCCCCCGGCTCCCTCCTGCTGGCTTTTGGCCTTCATGGCCTCGCCGGCCTCGTAAATAGCCAACTGCAGAGCGGCTCCGGCTGGCACCGAAGTGAAGCCCTCCTCTGTGATGTGGTCTACCTTCAGGTAGCGCCCTGGCCTGTGCAGTGGCACTCCGTGAAGGTGGGAGAAGAGCAGTGGGAAGTCCCTCGCCAGTGTGTAGCGAGCCACCAGCCTCAGCTCAGCCGGGACGTCTGCTTCCTCGGAGTACTCAAAGACGGCGCACATGTATTTGGACAGATCCTGCCCACCGGCCATGGCTCGGCCCACCTCTTCTCTGATCAGTTGGATGACCGCCTCAGAGCCGTAGTCATTTGACCCTAAATCGAACACCTCCTCGTCCTCGTCGGCCCCCTCCTGTGGCTGTGGAGTCACGGGCCTTTGCTTCAGCCCTGGAGAACACACCACCATGACAAAGTCACTCTCCTGGATCTCCCGGCAGTACCAGGACAAGCTGCCCTCCTCAGCCACACTCAGGGAATCCCAAAGGTCCAGACGCACCTGGGAAGACACAAGACGAATGCTAACACGGGACACTGGATCTTTGTTGGATGCAAAGAGCAAGCAGGGCCTGGGCCGCGTCTCCACTCTGGTGACTGCTGCAGAATAAGCTGGTGCTACCTGAGTGGCCATGTGCTGCTGAATGAAGGCTCCCAACTGCACGACGGCTTTGACGTGAGAAGGGCTGTCGTTGCCGCTGTAGCAAATCAGAAGGCGAGGGGGGGTGGGTCTGGTCCCAGATAAAGACAGCACCTCCTCCTGATTCCCACCGTCCTCAAACTGCCTCAGGATATCTGGAGGGTTTACCAGAAACACACAGGTGGGGATGCTTTCGTCGTCAATCACGGTTAAGCTCCAGGTCCGCCTTAAGGTGGTATGTAAACGCACCTGGTTTAGGCTCGGACTTCTTCCAGCGAAGCTTGGGCCTCCAACAGGTCAGAGCTGCCAGCAAGAGTCCGAGTAAGGCGACTGCAGCCAGACACAGTGGAAGCACCACGGCCAGGGTGGGGGGGGTGGAGGCAGCGTCTGGGGGTGGAGGAGTTGTACTTGCTCACTATTAGAAGGTTTCTAGCATCCATGATGCTACACCATGTGATAATGAGGGGTCAGGGGTTATGGTGACCTCTGTGTTGGAGAATCTCCCCCAACATGAGATAAAAAAAGCTGTTTGTGCATTTTTTACATTTCTACATCCGGGAGGGTTGTTGTTTTCCTTCTAAACAGCTTTCCTTTGCTCAAGATGAATTATAGAATAATTACATCTGTTTGTTTTTTTGTCTCTCGCAAGTTGTCTTCACAAATTTTAGACAAAATTTATTTGTCTGGCACTCGCATGAGGACCTTTGCACGGCATGAATAAGTCCTTTCCCAGGCTGGAAATAGATGGTACACTAAAAAGCTTGAAAACACCAGTAAATCAGTCAGATTTTAACTGTTTTGAAATGATTTACATATTTGTAGATGCCATTTAACTCACTTAAGATGTCTTGTTAGTTTATTTGACACTAGTGCGTGGAAATAAACACCAAATAAAATTAGTGGGTGGTTAGTGGTTTTAAATTTCAAATAAAAAAATTGATTATATAAAAAAAAAAAAGCGTACAAATCAAAACTAACTTCTAAAAAGGCTGGAAAACATATTGGATTACTTTCAAGTCGCTCGCACACACGTCAATTGTTGATAAATCATCATACTGGGAAACCGCCACATGCTTTCGATTTTACCACCAGATTCTGAGAAAAGGCAGAGGGTGAGCCATTTTAAGGTTATTGTAGTTACCTAATTTATTTCCTTCTAAATGGGACCATTTTTTCAAGAATAATGATTCAGTATGTCATAACAAGTCTTTCAAGTCATGAGGATCATGATTACTATGGTCATAACTCATGAAAGAACGGGATTTTCATTGCCATCCCAAGGAGCCGTTTCGGGCTGCAGGAATAAAGCCCTTTTGTCAGGGCACCCATTCGGTTTGAGATCCATGTGAACGGTTGTCGGGACGATTGGCACATCAGATCGCAACTACATGGTTCCATAATTCAACATGAAAATGGATCAGACGGCTTCCCCTACCTGTCTGGATGGCCTTGACCTGAACGCTGAAGGATTTCCTCACTGCGTCCACTTGGTTAGCAGCAATCTGAGTAAGGAGAAATAGGTGGAGAGCAAACGTTCACCCATCACCTTGGCTGTAGGGGACTGACAATAAAATGGTGGATTTGGATGCCTCTGAACAAGCTGTAGGCAGACATACATTATCATTATAAGAGTGACATTAATAGACAGGATTTTACCCTCCTTTTAGCTCATCTCCTCCCCAAAACATGCCCAAGCTGTATTTCTCCATGTCAGATTGCTAATGCTTATATCAGAAAAAATTGTGATTTCGCAATATGTGTCTGCTGCCATTCTCTGTGGAGAAGCAACCTGCACATGCATGACTCCGGGGTTGCTGTCTTTGGATGCAAGCATTTAAGAGGGAAATTCCTCACAAGTTAACTACTGTGGATGGCATTGTCTCGGCTTCTTGTACTACTTTCTTTTTTTAGGAGGATCTGTAATGATTATTCCTGGCAGCGATGCTGTGTTGCTTTCTTAGGTCGGTTCTTGGTGCATGACAGTATCTTATTTCCACTCATCGGAAACTTCTCCAACCTTTTTTCTTTTTGTGCCAAGATTCTGAATCAGGGCAGCCTTATTATCTTATATTCGATTTGTTTAATTGTGGTTTTCTTTATTCCCTTTAATAAACTTTACCTTCAGACTGAGGTAAAGTTAAATCTTCTGAAACTTTGTGATCAGCAAGCGATTATAAAACATTTTTAAAAAGGTTTTTTTTCTCTTACCTGACAAGTGTAGTTTGTTCCTTCCTTAAGGCCGTCCAGCTGATAGCTGTGGAGAGTTTTGTTTTGGGAGGAATTCTGAGGAAGCAGGAGCACTGGTTACAATTTTGTTCAGCATAGCACGATACTCAGATTTCAGTTCTGCTGCCATAATGCTGAACAGGACAAGGTATAAAATAAAATAAAAAAAATGAAATGATTGGTTAACATTTGTGTTCCGTTTGAAATTAAGATTTAAAATCCCTTTAGTTTCTGAAACTACATGGTCTCCTGTGACTTTTAACTCAACCTGTCATTCTCAATAGTTCCAGGAATCAAATAAATTTTGCTCAAATGAGCAAAAAACCAACTGCACGTGTTCACTACCCAGGTTTGAGGAGGTCACCACTCACAGGAAAAATGTCCATGTATCGCTTCATGCCGTTTGCGTAACAAAGTGAGAAGTAGCTTCTGATGCCCAGGTTGGGAGGAGCCAGGTTGAAGGTCACTGTAATGATGGAGCCTTCCTGTTGGACCTCAATATGCTTTGGGTACCAGTCTACAAACAAAAAATTACAGACAATTAGTCTGCAAAACTAACTGTATGTGGAAACGACAGAAGGTTTTTCTCACCGTGTTTACACTGCTCGAGACCTTTCTTCTCTGCACACGCTGTGGGGCAGGAATGAGCACGTTACTTTAAATTCATCATTATTTTGGGATGCTCAATTGGAGCCAAGAGATGACAGAACAGGGCCAACGGGGAGTGGCAGGCAGACAAACGCAGACACTTTAATGTAACGCTGAACCAACAAAAACCCGAGCCTCTTACTGCGAGTTGAGAACATCTTGCTGTGGTAGAACTTCTCCCACTTCTCGGGAACTGGCAGAGCCATGACGGTAACGGCATACTGGGATCCAAGGGAGAGGCCGGGGAATGGGTCTGACTTGTACACCTGCATAATACAGCAGTGGTCACTTTCGTTTAACAAACCATGAATGAAGTCAAGCCCCGTCTCATTTTTTTCATGAACCAAACGTTCATAGGACATTAAATGCATCTACGAAAACCCAAAGCCTAATTATTTTCTCAGTAAAGCCAGATTTTTCAGTAATCTTTTAGTGTGACTTTGAGCTATAGTTCTCCAGGTTTTCTCATAATCCTTGATAATATCTAAATACATAGATTTTTCTCTAAAACATCCATTGCTTTTTGTTCTCTAAAGAAACAGAGGAAAAAAAGCAGCAGATTCTTAAGCATGTCAAAACAGTTTCACAGGCATAAGAATAACAGAGAGAACGGTTGAGCCCGGCCAAAAGACACAAAATGTTGAGGGTTGAATCCTTCCCAAAACCGATTTGTCTATTTGATTCCAACTTGGCATTTGCTGTCATTCAAAGCTAATTTCATACAATTGATGATGTTTATGTTAATTTATTTCTGACATTGATAGACTAAAAATTTCTTGGAAGTTTTGACTTGTTATTTCCGAAATCTGGAATCTGAGAAAAGAAGCCTGGCCATGTGTGAAAAGGCACAACGGAGTTCACTTGTAATGTAATATAAGATTCACACACCTGCAGACGAATAAGAGCCAACATGGGGTTAAATGTTTTGAGCCCCGAAGGACACTTACAAGCCAGAAATGGATACGCTGTACTACCTGAGCTATTAAAATATCTTGTTTGCATGGTACTCTGAATTTCCTCATTAAATCCATGACGCAAAGTTCCCAAATATGAAAAAAAAGACAGTTAAATCTGTAAATTTGTCTCCGTTAGCACACTCTGAGACGCCATGTGAGCGGACAGTGAGCCACAGACGGGACAAGGCAAAGACCAAACCATTCTTCTAACCATTTGGGCCTGTGAAGCTGGCAGGGAAATGTTACGATGGAAGAGAAAGAGCTGACAAGCAGCCCTGGAACCACCCAAAGCCTGGAGGGACACCTGAAAGCCTCGCAGGAAGGAGATGCCTGCAAATGCACAAAAGAAAGAAATTACTGTCACGCACAGCCACCCTCTCATGTAAACACCTCAGTAATTCACGTGGAGGGCCCTCAAAACGTGCCCGACATGAAACTGTGGTCTCATAAACAGGTACATTCCTGAGCCGAGTACAGAAAACGAGAACGCTGTCATGTTTAATCCTAAAATAATGAGTCAGCCTTTGGGGTTGGCTGATGTCTTGGGGCTTCTGGGTGATGAAAAACATCCCGCCATTGTGCTGGCCATAAGGCAGCTTTTCAAAAACCCACAGGGCATTCACTGACACCTACTTGCAGATTTCAATCTAAGTGGTTACTTCTACTCTGATTAAAAACAGGACACTATTAAATTGTTAATAGCAAAATCTGGAAAACATCATCGGGGAAGATTGGGCTTGTGCTCAACGCAAGTCGGACAAATGCAGATGACATAAAGAACTCATCGATTAAGCTGCATTACGTCTTAGAGTCTGCAGGAAGCAGCTCCCATGATGCACCTCTCCTCACTGTGCTCTCAGTTTTTTTCTCCATGCACACAACACGTCATCAACTTGACTTTCTCTTTCTGTTTTCTGTCCTCTGAAACCCAAATCGGTGGCTCCAGAGGGCCCTCCTCCAGGTTTCTTCCTCCTTTGCGAGCAGTCTGTCGTTTTTTAAACGGGCACCCTATTGATTGGATTACTTCATACAACATTAGAAGACCTGGATTTGATTGGATCATGACTGTAATACATTGACTTTCGTTCTTATTAGTTTGAAATGAATATGGCATTTGGTGAGATTTGCTGCTATCAAAACAAATTCTGGTGTAACCTGAATTCGAGTTCATAATGCAATCAGTACCATGTCTGGCTTTAAGCTGGTTTACTCCCAAACACAGGCTAAGCACCGTGTACAGAAACTTTCTGGCAAAGTGATGGTGAAATCCAAGGAACACATCACATAAAACAAAAGCAGAAACAAAACTCTCTTTTTGATCTATTTCTGAGAGACAAATATGGGTGTTAAAGCCACACAAACAGGCAGAAGGTAAAGCTTAGGGGGCAGTTAAAGTAACTTCATCTAGTAAAATTCACCACTGAGCTCATTTCTTTGGAGCAAAAAAGAGTTAAAGTTCAAGATTTATGAACACAACAGTTGTACCGGAAAATGAGACAAAAGGCCCTGTTGATGGACCCAATGTGGGGTTCCCAGGGTGATTGTTATATCCGTTTATGATTAAATGGGTTTCCAGTGAAACTGTCATAAGTTTGCATGTTCATGTGTTTAAAGTGAACTTTGGACTACTTCGCTGGCTTTTTTCATCTGATATTTTAAACGCGGGGCTTTTGATCCTGTCCCTATGATCTCCACCACATGTCGTTTTGTCACAGTCTTTCTGGTGACCAGCCAGCTTGCAGATTGCCAAAAACACTGACATGCAGTTAGACACAGCAACGACGGAGGGCGTGGTTTGTGCGGATGTTGGAGTTTTGGAGGGACGTACGCGGCCGTGGAGGCCACCTCTCTGGGCCCTCGGCTGTGGCTCCCTGAGACTTTGGAAGGTGAATAAATAAACGAGGGCTTTATTTATTTTATTTTTTCAACACAGTGTGGGATTTTGGAGATTAAGGTGCTCTTATGTCAGCACAGACTAGAACCTGCGGCAAAGGGATGAGGTCACAAAGATGGTGTTTTTTGGTTTTTCTGCAGGCGGCGGATTTAAGTTTGGCTTTTTTAATTTCAAGAATAGGAGGAGAACTTAAATAGAAATGGTGTATTTTATTTCTTAGCAAATTGATCTTCTAAATGCTGTTTAAAATAGCATAAAGGTTAAAAAAAATCTGCATTATCTCCATTTCAGATGTCAAAAGGGTTTGGTGGCTTTGCGTGCTTTCTTTATTCAAGGTTTACTCCTTGAATAAAGGAGTCCACACTAGAACCTGCTAAGCAGGACTTGACTTGGTTATCCGTGTTCAGGAATGTTGAAATCTGGCTTTGGAGCAGCAGATTTGATACATTATCCCTGCGATTCAGATGAATCAAATCTGTTCGGACACATTGATTTGAATCAGGCGTAGAGCAGCCGGGAAACGGGTAAAGCCTCGGGGAGTTTAGATAGTGGTCGACAGCTGGTACCGGTTACATTTCAGCAGCCCGGGGCTCAACTGAGCCGCTAAACCGTCGCCGCCACCTCCTCCTGCGCTGTGTTCGCGGACAAAAAAAAGTCCCCAGATTGACTTATAATGAAAAACAACCAGAGCCCAGGGATCTCATCTCAAGTCCACCGGAGCTGATTCAAATCCCTTCACCTTTGGCAGAATATACAGATATTTCAGTCAGCCTAAATTCACTCCAAACCAGGGCAGTCTGAATAAATTCAGAGCGGAAACACACCGTAGTAACTGGGCTTCCAGGACACGACGACGGTGTCGTGATCGGGGTTGGGCGCGTGAACAAACTCGATGTTCACATCCGTTGGAGCTTCAACATAGTGCTGACAGATGCTGGGATCTTCCTGTCCAAGCAGCTCAAAACACGGCCACGGCACGCAACCTGAGGCCAAAGAAAAAACTTGTGTTTTACAACGGAAGACCGAAACTGCCCTCACACCCAATAAATACGATAATAGGCAAATGGATCAACAAGCATTAATGCGATGATAAACGCTGCTGTAGTTGTGCAACACAAAATCACACCAAATGGGCTTTTTATTATAGACTTTGCAACGGATTTTCCAGTTTTATCTGATCTGATAAATACTTCTGCTTTTATTTCATTGGAATAGTGAAACAGAAACAGGCCTGTAAAGATGGAAAGGGAAGAAAAGAACCAAATGATCCATTAAAGGAATTACAAGAAATAGATTCAAATTATGCAGTGAAACAAACAAATGAACAACTATTTACAGGGAATAAATAGAATAAATAAACACAAATTAAATATATAAACGTCAACTGTCAATAAAATGAGCAGGTCGGCAGGCCAGTGCAGCCTGTTTTTAATCACACTGACCTCCAAATGAAGGCATGGTGTTAATGCCCAGCGCTGTCTTGAGATCATCTCTGGTTATTCTGCAGTATTCGCAGCTAGGGCCTCCCTGTTGAAGGAAAGTTAGTAATCACTTCCAGCAATGTGTTAAAACGTTGGCTTTAGAACATGTAAGTCATCAAACACATTGTAAAACGCAGACCATTAAAGATTAACTAAATTTAGCTGCACCGGTTGTCCTTTTTTACGGATTTTCTCTGTTTTGGGCTTTGGCAAAAAGTGAGAAAAACCCATTGTGATGTTAGTAAAACCTATTGATCAGTTTAGGAATTCATCCCCATAAAAAACAGAAACACTGACCAAAAGAGAGTCAAAAGTAAATAAATTAGGGAAAACAAGCATTAAATAAGACTATTAAAACAAAACTATGAAAGAATACCAATGTTCATGTTGTTAAACCTTTTATTCTATTTTTGATTAAGCAAAAAACAAAAACAAACACAAACAAAAACAAGGTTAATTTGACATATTTTTTAAATAAAAAGCACTTGAGACTAACATTGTTGAACACATGTAATCAATAAAGATCGCACAAAACATAAACTGCTTTAATGTGTACCGTCTGTACTATCCCTATAGCCAAAGAGCCACGAAAAAGACCGACTGTGTGTGTGTGTGTTTTGATTTGATTGTTTAGTCAGTGAAAGGCCACTGTGGTGAGTTTGAACTCAGATTTTTAAGCCATAAGAAAATTCTTCCCATCGTGTGACAGAAATGGAATAAAAAGTCAATGATAGATGGCAAATGCATCTCTAAAACGATCACTGAAAGTGAAAATCCCATCCAAACTGTACATTTACTGTTTGTTTGTTTTTTTGGCTCCAAATGAACATTTAAATTACTATTTCAACTAAAATTTCACAAAATGTGGGATCAGTTAGCCTTTGTTTCAGGGGTGATAGAACTATGGCTGAAAAGGATAAAAAAGAGCTGCTTACTGGGGAAATCATGTGTTTGAATTCATCTCTTATGAGCTCGTTTTCTGCTAGAAATTTTTCTTAACTTAATATTTACATTTTCTGCCTGTTCATATTGCCCCCCCCCCTCCACTTTTTGTTAAATAAAAACAGTTTGAGAAGAAACAACATGCTGTCTTTTCATATATTTAGACTGATCAGAGTGGGTTACATGAAACACAGTCTGAACGGCTAAACAAAGAAGTATTTAGAGCAATATATGCCACTACAATGAAATAAAAGTCAACAATAAAAAATAAATGTAGCAAAAATATTCAAATGTAATGTGAAACAAAGACCATTTTTCTGCTTCAACGCTTAACAGGATTTGTTAGATTGTGTGTCAACTATTAACATTTCTACTCCGATTTAAACTTACAAATAGAACAACAAAATCAAATGTATTGCTTTTTGTATTTGTAACTAATATATTTATTTCTGTTACTTTTCATAATTCTGAACAGCTCTTTTTTTTTTTTTACAAACAATGATCAGTTTCTTTAATTTGAGAAAAAAACGTCATATATATATTTCATTCATGCAAATAAAACTTTCTACCTTCTTTTGAAAAACTATTGACATATTGTACAATTGTATAAGAAAATATACTTTAAGTTAGTTAGTGTTAAGAATTCATTTCAAATGTGTTTTTGTATATTTTAAAATCAATCCTCTAATTTGACGAAACGTGAGAATTCTAAATGTGATTTGAGTGCACTGTTTGTCCTTGTTTTTCAAACCATAAAGTAATTATATTCTTTTGTCAAAAATTGTCTCAAGAACAACAGCATTAATTTCTAAATTAAATCAATTATGAATATTAGTTCCAATCTGTGTAGCTCAGATAGCAGAAAAATAAATACTGTACTTCAAATATAATAGTAAATATGTTTGGTAGTTAAATAATATAAGCAGAGGCTTGAATGAATTTAGTGTCATTACAGATTTGGTTTAATTAATCAGACAATATTACATTTTAAGATAATTTATCATGATACAAACTTATTCATGTAATCCTTTGTTTGTTTCTGGATATCTGTCAGGAATTAAATGTGAAAGCTATAACATGTTATGAAGTGTGCAAAAAAGTGTTATTAACTTGAAATTTGTGATTATTAATATACATTTTGACTCTAATGCTATAATGAATGACAGAATGTGTATTTTCCTGTTGGTATACATAAGATTTATAACAAAAAGGAACTAATATTCAGCCAATATGCTTCTGTTACTAAATTTATCTGAGTCATACCATTTTAAAAATTTAGGTTCGTCCTTATCAAACAGAAAATTATTTTCCAGTGTCTTTGAATAAAAAAATCTATCTGGACAGATATTTATGGTCGTCCAGAGTTAAGCGTGAATGCGAACATTTTGAGATTTGCTCCTGCCTCGAGCGGATCTCCTTTGAAATACTTTATTATGCACGGATCGTACAGAGAAAAGACAAAGGTCATGCATCCTGTTTCAGAGGATAATCAATTCCACTTTTTTCATCTCCATTTTAACTTTAAGGTTAGATGCAAGCCACATGTCGGTATAGCTGTGAACAGCCAAATGGCATCTGCATCAATCAGGTTTTAAACTCTTTTGAAAAGTGCTGCCAGTAGTGTGAATGTAACCTAAGCCGTCCGTCTGCTTTACATTTAAAAACACACCATTGCCTGTCACATTTTGTTGCCCAAAACATCAAGATCTGTGAGGGGAAACCCTGTAACCCTGATTATGATGCTGTTTTCTGTGGTGTCGGGGGAAAAAAAAGCGGTCTAAGTCTAAAGTGTAAAGCACACACATTTGAACATTTACATAGACTAATTGAACTTGTTCAGATTAACACACAGCGTGACATCACTGGAACGCATTTCAAGGGCTGTATTTGTATGTTTTTTTTTTATTTGTAAGGCTCAATAGTGCTTTATAAATGGCTCTGAGATCAGCAGCACATCTTTTTATGTACTTGACAACAAGAACTTAATGAACACAGTCAGCTGCACTGATGGATGATCTGGTTCTGCCGTGTTATGGTGTGTCAGACACAAGAAGCACTCATCACTTCAAGAAGACATTACGAGCATTAAGACAGTGTTTATAGCCAGGAGTTCTGATGTGAACCAGAAGACCCTTTGTTTTGTCACCATTAGAATAAAAACCAGGTCAAAACCCAGAAGCTACACGTGAAAAATGAGCCTCCCTTCCCAACCCGGCCACGTTGTGTTTGGAAAGAAGAAGCTTTCTCCTGCAATACCTCCCAAACAGCCAGGCTTTTTAAAATCTGTATGCATCTCCAGGCTGCCGCATTCCTTCTTAATCTGTTACTTTTTCTTTTTTTAAATAACGCACTTCTTTTTGGATGTATTGACTTCATAACACGCTGATCTTTCAGGCTGTAATCGCCTCATTTTAGGAGCTTATGTGCGAGTGAAATAGGCTAAATTCGGACTGAAGGTTTACGGTCTCTTCTGCATTCTTTGCCCACGTACATCAAAGGGTCGGAATACTTTGTGCATGGCTGCCACACCTGCGAGCCTAACAGGTGGAGAAAATGAGCCAGGAAGAAATGGTATCAGCCCCAGGCATAAATACTCACTTAAGATCTCTCACGCAAGCCAGCAAGAGAACACAGGCAGCTTAACCATGTCCCTGACCTTAAGAAAATCAGCCATTTCAGATTTATTTGGGCTTTTTTTCAATTATAACACGACAAAGAGAATATCAGGGAAGAAAACAAAGCTACGACTATAACTCGTTTTCATTTGAAATAGTTTGAAATCCAGCATGCAGTTTGTGTGGATCCTCCCAAATAGGTACGGGCTACGGGTATTTAATCCAGCTTCACTGTTTTGCCTAATTGTTCTTCTTCTCTGTGTGTTAAACATGGGATAAGGGGTGTTAAACAACCCCTCTGGTGAAGGTTGCGGGTTTCGTTCCCGACGGTCCCTCACAGGGGGACGAGCCTTAAATGTAGCAGCGCAAGTCACAGAAGAGCCTCCACATTACCTGTCGGATACAGTCCAGACCGCAGTCCTGAGGAGTGATGGCTGCCGGCGGGCCGTCAGCCTGAGCGAGCGCCGAGAGCTGAAAGAAAATGAGAGCCTCCGTCCACATGCTGCCACAGCCGGCATGACATTTACCAACCAACGCAACCACGGCGAAGAGTGAATCCCGACACGCCGGGATTGTTTTCGACTCTATATGAGAGTGTCAGTGGCAGGAACCAAAGAGGAGGGAGAAAAACCGACGGGGAGGGGAGTGGCGCCCCGGGGGCAAAGGAGGAGCCAGGGTGCTCCCCTTTTGTGCGTGTTTTAACAATGAAGAAGCCGCAATGACAGCTGACAGATTCTGAGGAGAGATGAAAAAAAACAACATGAAACTGAAGGGTTTTAGACAAACATCTGCCGGGCAGGTGTTTCAGGCACATGATGCAAAGGCTCTTCACCGGTCCAAAGACTTTTATTACACGCAGACGCTTCTTATTTACATGTCATGTGAGGTCCTCGACAAGAGAGGAAAAAAAAAAGAAGTTACAAATCCGGAGCGTGCGAGGAGAAATTACACAACGAGGTTCGTCAGGTCAAACCCCCCCCCCCCTAAAAAACAAAAACTAAACTAAACCAGGATATTTCCACGGGCAACGGCACATTCGAGCGGAGATGATCACCGGATCTGGAAAAGAAGGAAAAAAAAAACAAATTAGGAAGTTATTCCTCGGATCAAAGGTCGGAAAAATTCTTTGAATGCTTTTTTGGGGGTGATTTTCTGTGATTATTTCATCAATGTGCAGTAAACTTTCACACAGATTAACTCCACATAAAAAAGCAATTTGTTTCAGACACAGAAAAGGGGAAACTTAGTCCGTGCTTCTCTACAAAAGCATCCTTCACTGCTGCCAGCAACAATCAAGGAAAGAGCCTTCTGTTTACGTTCACATCAATTCTAAAACTCAGGAAGTTGTTGCTGACTGACTGACTCATGGTTTTTACCGTGTATTTGTCCCATTTCTTCTCCGGATCGTACGGCTCCCAGCGGCTTGCGGGGAAGATGTGCTTGTTCTTCTCGTACCAGCTCCTCAGCACCACTTTACCTGCGTGAGACTTGAGCCAAAAGGGGGGAAACGTGAGCAGTTTAAATGCAGGGGGGGACTCAATAGATCAGTCTTAAGTATGCTGTACATCCTCCGTCGTGAAACCAAATCTTCAGCTTGACCTCAAAAGGAAACCGGGCTGCTCCACAATGGTCGTTTGACCTGAACCCAAAGCACGGAATTCAACCTCAAACCGCACACTCCCACACAAGTGGAGGCCTTTCTTAGAAAAACGTTCTAACTCCCCAGTAAGTTTATGTCAGTTTCTATGAATTATGGGTACGTCAAGGATTTTAAATCCTCATTAAATTGAGAACGATAATTCCCGACATAATGAATACTTTAACTGCTTCCCCTCTGCAGAAAACTGGAAAAGGCCATTTACTGGGAATAGTAACGATGCCAATAATTCCCACAGCAAGTGTTTCGTCAAAGCTTTGATTCTTTGTTTTGTGTGAACTTTGATGTTTACATGTTTCTTTTGTTTTTTATCAGCCACAGCATTCAGCAAAGATGTGTTGGGCGGCTCAAGAGGTTTCAAAAGGCATTTAAGTGGGTTAAAATCATAAAGAAACCAGTGGGTTAACAAAATACCACACAATACCACATTTATTGATACAAAGACTTCACTCTGGGAGCTGTTGGATGATACAAATTCCCAAGAGAGCTATACGTTGCACTCCCAATCATGCATCAGTTTGTTTATATAGCAAATAGTGACTGTAGGTTAGTTTGAGAGGTATTTCTCCTCCGGCTGAATAAATGTGCATGTCAGGACAGAGTCCCTGTGTTTACAGCAATCCTTGCACGGAAAAACCACAATGTCTGATTTCTCTCCAGAGGAAAAGCGGTGCAGATGGCACAGAGCTCCCGTCGGAAACTGGCACTCCCCAAAACCACCCTCAAATTTGAACTTTGTACTCATCATGATAAGCCTCGCTTCCTAATCTGGATGGTTCACCTCGTCTTTCTCCACGGTGGCGTCGTTCACCAGGCGAATGTCGTCGTGGACGTCAAAGCTGAACAGCGGGCCTGCGGGGGGAAGGAACCGTGTAAAGCAGCAGCAACAGCCCGCATGCCACCCTGTGAGGGGGGGAGCCCCCGTTTCTCTGAGCGATGTCACCTCTGAACAGGAGGCACGGGAGGCTGCGATGGAGTCACCGTGGAAACGGGGCAGATAAAGGTACCGTTAAAGGTACCGTTCAAACTGACCGTACTAAAGGACGGGGAAACTCATCACATTTTCTAAGGAGGCTCTGGCAGAAAGCTGCTTGGTAATACTATAAAAAAAGATTACAGCCACACTAAGCTCATTATAGACAACGAAGGCAGGTCTGAACTTTCAAATGTTTCCCACATTTCTGGAGTTTATAGCAGCTCCACTCATTAATTAGACACATAAACCTCCTAAATGAGTGTTAGGTCAAACAAAAATGTTACTAATTACCATGTCGTAAATAGATAACATCTGATGTATTGTAAAATCGTCTTGGGTAATCTATGTCTTACATACAAAATACAAATTTCAGGACAGAATGATTTGTTAGTATGGAACAGAAGTTGATAATGACGTACCAGATTTTCCTCTGGCTTTGGTCACGATGAAGTCATAAAAACTGTGGTGCTGAAACAGACAACAGACGGTGAGATTTAGCCCCATGATGGAGGCCTGAGATCACACACGCAGGCACCAAAAACAATCTGACGCACAGAGAATTCCTCTCGGATTCATTTGTGCCACATTATGAAGAAGGAGTTAAAACAGCTGAGTGCCATCAGACACACTCGAGTGTCCTAAAACACGAGGTCTTTTAGGAGTTTCGACGTCTGGGCTGCTGTTTTCCACTCACATGTGGGATTATCAGATCTTCTTTGATGTACATCAGCTGCTCCACTCCTGCAGACCTGCAGGGCAAAGACAGCACTTTACATTGCGGCGTTTCTTTAAAGGGCTCGGATCAGAGATCGGATTTACCCCCTCCACCATGACCAGATTTTGGTCTTTTGTGCGTCTCTTCTGAAGTCAATTGAACCACATACCTCTCTTTGGCACTTCGTTTACCTCAAAGCAGCTACTTGGCTCTTTTTCTGAGCTTTAGGAAATAAGCTAAATAAGCTAAATAAAAAAATAAAAAAGAGGATCTTAACTCATTCAGCCCCCTCAGTTTTATTTCCTTTGAACTCCAGTCTGAAGTCTAAATGCATTAAAGGTACCTCACGTGATGGGAAGCTGAAACTGCTTTGATCCAAGAGTAAAATCAGCGAATATTACTCTGGCAGATTGTTTTAATTCAGATAAAATCAATTTGGTTTCCTTTCTTCTTTCTGGCTTAATTCAATTACAGGAAGAAAAAGACAATCCAAATAGTTTTACGTAACTGCCTGTGAAACGGCAAAATGTCTCTGAACTATGAAGCAACAGTAGAGACAGCACAGAAACTTTTAGCTGGACCAAATTTTCCTGTAATACCACTCTGTGTAATTACATGTGACATCAGTCACCAGAAAGAGGCTGTACGGTCTGTTATGGAGCCAAGTGCACAGGAAGCAGCCTGTTGAATAACAAACAACAGATCGACAGAGCATTTGCTGGAGACAGCGGACTAAGATCTGATGAAATGGGGACTCACCTTGGAATTTAACCCCTTACAAACATAGTTTTCCTGTCCTCTAAAGACAGGAAGAAGTACCAGAGTTGATCCATCACTATGGAAGCATTTCATTTGCATTTGACTTTGAGTTGGACTCACCTGAGCTCACTGAAGTCTTTCCTGAGGACTTCCAGGGCTCTTTGCAGAAAGTTCTGGATGGTATTACCCTTCTTCATCTGAGGCAGAAACCCATATAATACAAACAACATTATGGCTAATTGGATAAAATGAGCTAAGAATCCACCCTTTGAGGTGCTTCTTTGTGGCAGAAATGACGGCGGATCCATAAATCCTGTCCTGTGATCCTGTCGTCATTCATATAAACGGTGTGTGTGTGCTCCTGTCCGAGTTTACCTTGACGGTTTTCCGATGTCCGGAGCCATCCCAGTAACTGAATGTAATCTCAATCTCCTCATCTAGATGTAAGAAAATAAGTAGGTCAGGT